TGTTAGCTACAGGTTTTACTTAGTTCATCTTCATTTCCAGATTGCTGAGAAATTTTGTAAGTGGATGGATACAAAATACTCTATTATAAAATGCTTTTTCTGTGTATCAGGATAAACATGGTTTCTCTCCCCTTTTAGCTGTTCATGAAGTGACATATTACTTGGATTTTTACATGGTGATTCCCTCTAGAATAAAAATGGTTGTGATATATGTTCCCTTTTTTGATATTTCGTTTTATTCAGTGACTTTATTCATGAGAATGATTAGTCTGTAACTGTCCTTCCTCTTAGTGTCTTCCTCTGTCTTGTCATTAATCTTGCCTTATAATGCAAGTTGGGAAATATTCTATTTTTTGTTCTGTAAAAAAGTTGCATGTGGGGAGCTGGGAAGGTGGCTCAGTGGTAGAGCACTTGCCTTGCATGCCTGAGGCCCTGGGTTCGATTCCTCAGCACCATATAAGCAAAAAGAAAAAAGCCGGAACTGGTGCTGTGGCTCAAGTGATAGAGTGTTAGCCTTGAGCTGAAGAGCTGAGGGACAGTGCCCAGGCCCAGAGTTCAGGCCCCACGACCAGACCCAAAAAAAAGAAAGAAAGAAAGAGAGAAAAAGTTGCATGTGATTATTCCTTTCATAAGCATTTGGAAGAATTCACTAGGGAAGCAATCTAAGCCACAAATTGTTTTTGTGGGAATACATTACTAAAATACCTAATTTATTTAATACTTGTTGAGTCAGGTGCCAGTGGTTCACACCCATAATTCTAGCTACTTCAGAAGACTGAGATCTGAGGATCATGGTTCAAAGCCAGCCTGAACAGGAATATCTGTGAGACAATACCAAAAAGCCAGAAGCAGAGCTATGGTCTTGAGCACTAGTCTTGAGGGGGAAAAAAAAACGCTCATAGACAGTGCCCAGGCCCTGAGGTCAAGCTTCAGCACAGCACGCGTGCGCGCGCATACACACACACACACACAGAGGTATTTATCGATTTTTGTTTCATCTTTTTTTTATATCATCTTTAGTGAGCTTTGCAAAGAATATGTGCATTTCATTTACTGAGTCTTTTTTTTTTTAGATCTTTCTATGTAACCCAGGCTGGCTTTGAACTCACAATTTTCTGCTTCAGGCTCCCAAGTACTGGGATTGCACTTGTGCACCGTCATATTCTGGCTTTAGGATTTTTGTACTGTTTGAAAGATCTGTACTGATTTTGTATTTTTCTTTTCTTAAACTGGTAGAGTGGGTCCTTCTCATTTTTTTTCTTTCTGGGATTTATAAATTATATTAATTTTTCCCAAAGGGTCAGCTTTTGGGCTATGTTAATATTCTTTGTCTATTGATCGATTATTTTAAAATGTACACTTCAACTTTCAGACAGTTGTTTTACTTAGTTATCTTTTATTGATTTTTATCTCAACTTAAAAGTATAAAAAACATATTCTGAAAAATTTCAAGCTTGCAATTTTGTTGATGCTTATTTCATAATGTGGAAAATAGTTAATTTCAGTAAATTTTTCCTATGCTTTTGAAAATAATGTATGTTCTGTCCTTGTTGGTTGCATGTTCCATAAATACCAATAAAGTATCTAGTGTGTTAGGTACTATTCTTAATAGTTTTTTGTATGCTTAGTCTGTTTAGTATGGAAAAAGGTATATTAAATCTGCTTCCATAAGTTATTATTTTTTGTTCTGTTTTGTTGCTGCACTTAGAATTGTGATCTCTTGGGCTGGGAAGGTGGCTCAGTGGTAGAGCACTTGCCTTGCATGCCTGAAGCCCTGGGTTCGATTCCTTAGCACCACATAAACAAAAAGAAAAAAGCTGGAAGTGGCACTGTGGCTCAAGTGGTAAAGTGCTAGCCTTGAGCTGAAGAGCGGAAGGACAGCGCCCAGGCCCAGAGTTCAGGCCCCACGACCGGACCCCAAAAAAAAAAAAAAAAAGAATTGTGATCTCTTCCTTTGTCATCCTGAAATGTTCCTTTTGATCTTCAATAATGCTAGCTCCTTGAAGCCTTTTTAGTCAGCTACTAATGCTATTAAAACAGCTTTCTCTTAGTTATTAGTTATGTTGGGTCTTAATGAGTTGTTTACTTTTACTCTTTCTGGTTATCTAAATAGGGTAGAGAGGATTTCATTTTTTACTTTTGCAGTTCTGGGGATCACACCATGACCCTCAAGTAAGCAAATCAACTATTCATGCTACCTCTGAATTATATCCTAGCCTCATAGGCAAGATACAACTGAATTTTGTGTTTTATGTAGCCTTTTATTTGGGTACTTGCCCCTTTATATTTAATGTTAATTTATTTGGCTTTAGCTACAGCTTTAACATTTGTTCCTTTTTCTTATTACAGTCTTTTATATTAGTAAAGTATTTTTTATAATTCCATATATTCTACTATTGAAGTTTTACAATCTGCAAACTTGTTAGTCATGTATATATAGATATGTATATATTCAATTTCTAGTCTCTTGGAAGTTATCTTTGTATTTTTAGATTCCAATGAAAAATGTATGTTTTGTTTCTTCATTTGTTGAGGCAGAATCTTACTATTACCCCTCCCTATCCTGAAACCTGCAATAGTATTAGAACCATTTGATCCAATGGTATTAGTACTATTATTATATTAAAAGTAACATAATTATACTAAAAGTATTACTAACATTTATTCTCTCAGCCCAAAATATGCTTAAAAATTTACATATCATTTAAATTCTACAAGATTGTCTTATTATTGTATTTTATACTTGATTATTATGAAATACATAATTAGTATTTACCCAGGTTTTGGAACTTGCTTGGTAGGCAGGCACTGTACTTGAACCATGCCTCCAACCCTTTTTGCTATAGTGAGTTTTCAAATGAGGTTCAATGTTTATGGTTGGTCCTTCCTGGACCATTCTCCTCCTATTTAAGTTTCCTGCGTAGCTGAGATATGCCACCACATTCCAGCTTTTATTGGTTGAGATGGGAGTTTTGCGAGTTTTCTGTTGCTAATACACAAATGTTCATCCTTCTGATTTCTCTCTCCTCAGTAGCTAAGATTACAGGCACTGAGCCACTACATCTGCCTTATCTGCTTTTATTGTACTTTCCCATTGTGTCTTTTTAAAAAAATGTATAGTCCTATTTTAGCATGTCTAGAATTTCTTACTAAATTACATATTGTAATGACTTATTTTTATTTGCATCAATGCTAAATCTTTTGTTAAATATTAAGTATCATAAAAACATAACATACAATGGGAGAGATCATAGTGGAATAAATAGATGAAGTGCCCACTCAATTTTAGAAAAACTTGGCCATTTGTAGTAGTGTAGTGCTCACTTGTATTTACTCCAAAAAGACAGAATAGAAACTGATCATTTTCATCCAGAGGCTGTGATGAATCCAAGCAGTCCCCCTTAAGTTAAAATTTAACATTTGACCTTGAGATTCTTTTAAAACTCTTAGTATTTGATGAGGTGCTAGTGGCTCACATCTGTAATTCTAGCTACTCAAAAGGTTGAGATCTAAGAATAACAGTTCAAAGCCAGGAGTATCCATCAGCCTCTTGTCTCTAACCACTAAAAAGCTGCAAGTGGAGCTGTGGCCAGTGGGAGAGTGCTAGACTTAAGAAAAAAAATGCTCAGGGACAGCTTCCAGGTTCTTGAGTTCAAGCACCAGGATCAGCATGTACACAGAAACCCCTTAGTATTTGTAATGACAAATCAATTGTGTTATATTCCAGATCTAGTTTCAAAATTAATTTTAAAAAATTAAAATTTTAGTGAATTTTGAAAATCTCATAAAACATCTATGTCTGATAAAAATAAGAAAATAAATTTATTTTAATTCTGAGGTAAATGGCAGATGTAAGTTTTCTCTCGGTAGACATGAATAAGAACAGTCAACAAGAGGGACTATATTCTTAGAGGTAGAGGAGAAGAGTATAATAAATCAAGAATGAAGTGACAGAATAGCTAAAAACATCCCTCCAGGGGCTGGGAAGGTGGCTCAGTGGTAGAGCGCTTGCCTAAAAAGATAGGCTGAGAAGTTAAGTGTTTGAATTTTTTATATAGATTATATAAATCTATGCATGTTAAAATTTTATTTTGCTCTGAAATAATCATTTCAACATTTCTATATTATTCATTTAAAATAGCACTTACAACTAAGTTCTGTAAAGGAAATATTACTAGGTGCTAAGAAAGACCAAAGTCCAGTTTAAACTTGCTCAGAACACCAAAGGTTCATCTACAAAATCATCTAACACATTTCCTATATTATAGGAATGCATTGAATAATGTAATTTATTGACTACCAAAAATAAAACCAGAGTGGTTGTATTTGTACACTATTCCATCATCAAAAGGTCAAAATATAGTCAGTGAATTGGGAATTATCTATAATATTATGACTTTTGAGTATTTGCAATATAATTTGGCATGTTTTGATTATGATTTTAAGAGCTGTAAGAATAGAGAACTATTCCTGGATTAGTTTGGCTAATAGTATTTTAGTTTTTCATGCTGCTATTACAAACTATCTTAATAGACTGAGTAACTTATAAACAACAAATTAAAATGCTTACAGTTCCGAAGGCAACAAGATCAAGATGCCAGCAGATCTGTCTGGTGAGAGGCTGTTCCTCATATTTGCTCCTTCTGTGTATCCTTATATGGTAGAAGAGGCAAACAAGCTCCCTGAACTTCTACAAGAGTATTAATAGAACAGTCCTTATCACCTCGCAAAGCCTTTACTTCTAATACTTAAATCTGAATACTTCTAATACATGAATCTGAAAGAAAATCATTTAATCCTCAGCAAACAATTAGTATACAAGGAAAAGTCAGATCTTACTGTAAAATTTCCTATTTATACAGTGAATTTGAGTAAATAGGATTTTCAAGATGTGTAATCTTATACATTTTTCTATAATTCTCCCCAAAATTGTTCCTCCCCACTTTTTATACGTAAGTAGATGAATTAACTTTCTGAAAAAAATAATCTTTTTTCCATAGGTTTTCTGTGAAAACTTTGATTGATCGGTCTTGCTTTGAGACAATCGATGATTCGTCTCCTGAATTTAACAATTTTGCAGCTGTTTTGGAACAGATTCTAAGTCACCGGCTAAAAGGTAATAACAACATCAATTTTTTAATCTCTACAAAGCTTTCTAGAGTAATAAGCTTGGTCATACAGACTAATGTGATTTAGATAGTCACCAAGCTACATTTTGAGAAACATAAAACTGATTTTTCAATGTCTAATTTTTTTTATTTATTTCCCTAGAAAAGTGTCTCCATCCTCAGATTTACATATATTTCTAAGGCGTGATTTAAAAAAGTATTGAATATATTGATTTCCACATATAGGAACAAACTCTCTTTTTGTAAGAGTACAATCAATTACTAGCAGATAGGCATCCCATGCATTAAGTTTGTTCCCTTATTATCTACTTCTTCAAGTCAGTAATGTTTGAAATGTTTTCAGCAGTAAGTACATTTGAAAAAAAGTTTGACTGGGGGTGGTGGCTCATTCCTTTAATTCTAACACTTGGGAAGCAGAGCTGAAGGAAGGATTCTGTTTGAGGTTAGCTTGGGCTTCATAGTAGTGAGTTCCAAGATAGCCTGGGGTAGATAAAGCGACTCTGGCTCACAAAATCCTGAATAAATAAATCATAAAATTTGAAATAAGAAAGAAATATAAAAAAGATATTTGTTTTTTTTCCATTGGTCTGTATATTTATGACATAAATATAGATCTCTTAAAATTTAAAGAGAAATACAAGAGCTTTGTTATCTCTGAACTCTAATAATTTTGAAAATTAAATGTATAGTTAAGATATAGCTAACTAAAACAAAGAATTATGGGCTGGGAAGGTGGCTCAGTGGTAGAGCGCTTGCCTTGCATGCCTGAGGCCCTGGGTTCAATTCCTCAGCACCACATAAGCAAAAAGAAAAAAGCTGGAAGTGGCGCTGTGGCTCAAGAGTAGAGCACTAGCCTTGAGCTGAAGAGCTGAGGGACAGCGCCCAGGCCCAGAGTTCAGGCTCCATGACTGGACCCCCCCCCCAAAAAAAAAGAATTATATGTCTTAGTAAATATCACATAAATCTCATAGTATAATTTTAAATTTGTAATAGTAATTTGCTCTAGTAATATCATGAGAGTCTATTAGGTGTAATCTGAACGTAAGTCTATTCTTTTGAGGCTGGTAGCATCTATGTTTTACTATTTAAATTATTTTAGGAGTTTTGTGAATCTAGATCAAAGGGTTAAATTTATATGAAAGAAAAAAATAGCTCTTTTAGAGCTATTTTACATTTTAAGAGTATTTTAAAATGCTTCTCATTAAAAAATGCTTCTCATTTTTGTTGTGTAGTGTTTCCTCTATTTTCTGCTCTTATTTTTTATAAGAAAATATATTTTACAAAAGCAAGGACTATAGAGATAGTGTCAGGATTACTATGTTGTATGATGACCGTATATTTTAATTTTGTACAAAAGCACATGGAAAAACTATCAGTCCCATATTGAGTAACTAGACAGATTCATTACAATGTAAGTGAACCCACCATACCATATACTAGCTTCTAAATTGTGCCTTAGCAGAATATAGATTAGGAATATTTTGAATTACTTCTAAACAAATTTATTTGTAACTTGTGGGGACTACTATAATAAGAATATAATTTCTTGTTGACTACTATGACTAAGATAGTAAAAGAGCTGATATATTAAATTCTGTGCTAAGATTTAAGTTAGGTAAAATAAACAATAAAAATATGCTTCTAAAAAGATTCTTATGAATTGACTACTATGATTATATATATATTATAAAAATATTAAACTTTTGAAATTCCTTATTATAATGATTGAAGACCCTGGAACTTTCATGTATTATTTTCTAATTTTTAGTATTTTTTGGAGAGCTTTTATAATTATAGTATGCTATATTCATTTAAAGCTTATATTTATGTCAATGAATTTTGCTAATGCTTTTTCTTTGTAGAAATACAAATTAAAATGTGTGATTTCATGAGGTTCTAAGATACTCAGACATCAGCCTCCCAAGTCGCTATGACTTCAGACATGATCCACTTCCAACAGGCCTATTTATTTTTTAAAATAAAGAATATTTGGTATAAACATTAATTCTTCCAGAGAAGATAAAACATTTCCCTAAGATAGAATGTGAATCATGCTAACACAGATAAAGTGAAGATTGATGTAATTATCTACTTAATTCATGCTAAAGGACCCATTATTGAAGAAAGGAGGTTTGTCAAATTAGAGACATTAATCTTATTTGCAGTAATCCCTTAGTCAGACAATGGTATTACTTTTTCTGGCACATAGCTGACAAGAAATTAATCACAGAATATTAAAAATATGAAAAGCTTAGTTTAATTTCTTCGGTTTCGTATTTTTTGAACATTTACTTACTAATTTTAAAGTACAAGATTTCACTTTGAACCCCATATCCAATAATAAAAACCACTACAGAAATTTCATGTAAATGGAACATTAAGTTGGGCATGTTGCCTTCAATTACTCCCTTACCCTGTGACTCTATAGCACCAGTTCAGCTATTGGTGAACCAAGGACTGCAGATGAAGAGACTACTTTATTCTCATTTGCCTTTATTAATATAATCAAATCAACAGTATGTCTAGTTGGTGAACACAAGGTCTTTTGCTTTTATTACTTCTGATCTCTGGGAACTTAGAAAAGTAGTTTATCACATTTTGACAGTTTAGGTAGTTATAAAATTCTTACCTGAAGACAACTAATTCATTGAACATTGACCTTTTTTGTTTCTTCTAACATGAGCTTAAATTATTAAATGATTGCTTTTCTGTAGTATTTTCCCCCATTGCTCTTTTTTTTTTTATCACCCAGGCAAAGTATCTCATCTTCAATCTTTTGAAACCACTGCAGTCTTAGTTATTCTTTCAAAGTTCATGAGTACTTTATCAGTGTTGACCTTAAAATCTAGCAGTCAGATCTGTGTAAAGTGCGTCAGGTGAACTAAACTCTATATTAATCTATATTAAGATTATATTGATTTTTATTACAGTACTGGCATTTGAACCTCGAGACTTCTGTGCACTGTCTAGGCCTATGCTCTATTACTTGAGTTGCACTTCCATCACTGCTATTGATTTCTTTCATTCTTACATTCCATGATTGGTACATGTTAATTTCCTAAGGTTTTTTTTTTTTTTTTTGGTCAGTTGTCGGGGCTGAACTCTGGGCCTGGGCGCTGTCCCTCAGCTCTTCAGCTCAAGGCTAGCACTCTACACTTGAACCACAGCACCACTTTCAGCTTTTTTCTGCTTCTGTGGTGCTGAGGAATCAAACCCAGGGCCTCATACATAAGAGGCACACACTCTACCACTGAGCCAACTTCCCGGCCCCCAGAGGTTTTTTTTAAAAAAATAATTAACTACTGTTTGTTTAGGTTTTATATCTCTTTAATTTTCCCTGAGATGAAGTTCACTGAGGATAAATATAGTATTATTTTCTTTGTGTACTTCAGAAATGAACAAGATGATTATAAAAAAATGCAGGTACCATTTTGTGTCATTTAGTGATGGGGATTTACTCTGAAAAGTGTTGTTAGGGGACGTCATCATTGTGAGAACATTATAGAATATATTTACACAAACTAAGAGGAACAGCATCATTCGACAGTATAACCTATGGAACTACCATGGATATTTGGTCTATTGTTGAGTGCAGCCTTACTGTGCAGCACATAACTGTAAATGGAAAGCTAGTTTATGTTCATGGTCTGGAAGAATGAACATTTGTAAACTGCCCATACTACCCAAAGTTGTCTATGGATTAAGAGTCTCTACAGTGATATTTTTCAAAGAAATAGGAAAATCCTAAAATTCATTTAGAAGCTTCCAAAGGCCTAAATATTCAAAGCAATTGAGAGCATAAAGAACAAAGCTGGAGACTAACATAAAAAAATGCTACAGACTAACATGGTGCTGCACACCTGTAATCTCAGCATGCAAAAGAATGATGAGTTTGAGGCCAACCTATGCTACACGTAGTGAGAGCCTGTCTCAAAATATTTGCATATGCAAGTATATAAATACATATACATATATACATTGAATATGTTACAAACCTACAGTAAACAAAACAACATGGTGCTTCATAAAAACAGATTGAACTAAGAATACCTTTGATTTTGTACAAAGATGCCAAGGGCAAGTGGTAGGAGAAAACAGTCCTTTCAGTAACTGGTGTTGGTACAATTGAGTATCTACATTCAGCAGAATGAAATAAAACCCACACCTCATATACTGTATAAAAATCAACTGAAATGAGCCAGGTGCTGGTGGCTCACCTGTAATTCTAGCTACTCAGGAAGCTGAGATCTGAGGATCATGGTTCAAAGCCAGCCCAGGCAGGAAAGCCTGAGAGACTCTTGCCTATAATGAACTACTCAGAATAAGCTGAAAGTAGTGCTGTGGCTCAAGGGGTAGAGTGCTAGCCCTGAGCACAAAAAAGCACAGGGACCGACCCCAGACCCTGAGTTCAAGCCTCAGGATCAGAAAAAAAAATCAACTGAAATGAATTAAACCACTTAAATATAAGATCTGAACTTATAAATCTACTAGAAGAAACCTAGGGGAAATCTTTATATTGATCTTGTCAGTGATTTTTTTCAGATATGAGTTCAAAAGCAACAATATGGATTACATCAAGCTAAAAAACGTCTGTGCAATCAAGAAAACAATAAGCAAGATGAAGAAACCGCCTATGGAATAGAAGAAAATATTTAGATGTCATGCATCTAATAAGAGATTAATATTCCAAATATATAAGGAACTCACATGACCTAAGGAAAAAATAACGACTTTCTTTTTTTCCTGTGTTAATTTCTGCATTATTCACACTAATATGTAGAATCAACCTAAATGTTCATCTACAGATAAATGGATAAAGAAACGGGTATATGCACATGATGGAATAGTATTCAACATATAAAAATAAGGAAATCCTGTCATTAGAAACAACATTGATGAGCCTGAAAGAAATAGGTCAAGTGAAATAAACCAGACATACTGAGATTAATGTTGCATGAGTTCATCCAGGTGGAGCCTAAAAATGTTG